TAGGTGGAGTGTGCGACGGCTCATTGCTCATCTGCCTCAGCCTGGTTTCTACTGCATTTGTGTTGCACAAAAACAGGGCTGTTGTAGTCTTCAGTGTTGCGATTTGAAGACCACAGTCCTGTTTTTGCTTTAAGTCCTCTAAGTTCCAGCAAGTTGCAGCTTTCCACTAGCGTGGGCTGAATGGCAACTAAGCGGACATGGCAGTATTTTGAGGTTAATGCCATTTTAAAATGTGTGAGCTCAACTTTCAACTAGTTTGCGCACATCATGAACTTTCACAACTCTGACCCCAGCCCTCTTTAACCACAAGTTTTTTTTCCTCCCCTAAACACCTCTGTAGCCCGCTCTTCTTTTGTATTCTGAGTAGCACAACAGCGTTAGTGATCAAATCATCAGCTAACAGTGTTCAATGATGTGTTGATAATCTGCTTCAATCATGCATGAAAATCATTCTGGTGACATATTTGCATGCGGCCTGTAAGAATGTTAGTTTTAGGGACACGTTCGCATTGAGCGTCCACCTTCTTCAAACCTTCTTCTTTGCACATTCCTGTGACCAATAGTGAAGGCACATGGTCAATATTTGCTCCCTTATTTTGTCTTTGCGTTTGAGAGCAGCACAACTCATTTTCACTGCATGAATGAGAATTATGTCCTGCAGTTGTGCTTTTCAAGTGTTCTAGTGTATTGTACCCCGCCTAAATTGCCCACATAACTATTAAAGTCAACAAAAGACACCTGTGCTCCATGTTGGGGTTTTTTTATGCATTTTGTCATTACTTGGTACAGCAAACCTTCTTCTTTGCACATTCCTGTGACCAATAGGAGACCGATGTGCCTTGGTTTCATCTTTGCACACATTGAAGCATTACACTTATCTGTTTATCATATTTATTTTATCTTATGTTATTCCCACAAGGCTTGGGACTTAATGGGTTAACCCTTTCAGTGCCAAGCATTTTCTGAAAAGATAGAGCGCCGGCCAATTTTCAGCATTTTCACTCATCTTTCAAGGCCGATAAAATATCTTGTGTTCTGACAATATAAACACAGAGGGTGCAATATGAAAGCAAGTGGAATCCGCTCTGTTATGTAGAAAGAAAAAGCATGGTTCTACCTTATTCCCATTAGTTTGGTTTCACTCAAATCATCACTCTCAGGAAAAATAAGGAGAAAATGAGGGTTTTCTGAAAATAAATATGATCTGCAAAAAGGTGAAGCACTCTAATGTGCGTGCGGCGGTACTGACGTGCATACATGCTGTTCCATAGTATGTGTGTGGGGGTTGAAGTGTAGAGGGAATATATTTATTTTCCAGCCAGCTTGCCACCTAGAATCTTTCTCATGACCTGAAATAGATACGTAAGCAATTACCATGAATACATAATTATCTTTTTTTTTTCCATTTTTGCAGTGTTTTTTTTTTTTTTTTTTTTTTTTATAAACACATTTTCCTTTCTCTGCTCTGCCAACAGGGGTGGGAGTTGTACTGCTGCTGGGTGTATCTGTAAATTACAGAAAAATATACAGTATAGTTCCCATCAATAAGCCCATTTTTTTTCGCTGTGGGGTATTGTGGACTTTTTTTTTTTTGTACCTCTTTTTGTACTGCGCGAAACTGTCCGACGGCAATCTCTGTGATACAGACAGCATATTACAGAAAAGCATGTCTGTGAATATTCTCATCCATCTAAGTAATTTTTTCTTAGGGCATTGGATCCTGTCACACTTAAGTACCCAACTGTGATCAATCAATTTAAGAAGCTCTTAGCAAATTGCTACGTTAGCTACATAGGAAGTTAGCGCTTACCTTTGCGGCTTTTTTTGAAGCTCTGCTGCTATCGGATCATCCAGAAGGGAACCACTCACCCGATGAATACAGATCAGGTCGCTGTGTAGCGCGTAAGCCCTCATCGCATGACAAGATTATTCAATTACGGCTCGAACCATCCTCAAGTTGTTTGTAAATTCGTTTCTAGTCGACGTCCCACCGTGTCTGTCGCGGTTTCATCTCCACTTCCTGTGAATCTTCTCGTCATCATTTTTTGTCACCGATTTTTGGCCTACCATGACAAATACTTTGCTCGATCGCTAACTGCTTGTATTTGACCGCAGTTTTTCCAGTCTCCAGCTGAAGAGTGGGCGTTATCTCATGAGTCGCACCTTTCTCTAATCATGCCTCGTTACCAGCTTCCTTTATAGACTCTGCCACGCCGACAACTGGCTGTCGGATTATTACAGCCTTGCTCACAACGCTAGTCTCCGAGTGCCTGAATTTTCCAGATGTTCATAGTCTTTGCTTCATAGCTTCTCGCCACGATTCTTGTTTAAGTATTTTCTTGTATTTAATTGTTCTTATTTCCTCGGTTAAAGTGTTCTCGTTCATTGGATTTACTTGTCCTTTTGTGACAAGCTTTTTCCATTGATATTCATCCTTGCTTTTTGCAGCGTTTTTGGTTTGTTTCATTATTTCCTGATTCTTTGTTACCTGCGTCTTTTGTTGTACTCTGTCGGTCTTGCATTTTTGTAAATAAACATGTTTTGTTTTTGTCAAAGCCTTATCTGTTTCTCCGCTTGTGGAACCCACCTCTCTGCGGATTATTCCGGAGATTGAGTATGAGTAATGTTATCTTACCTGTGTTTATGTGTTTCCACAACATCTGTGTGTGTGAATATTCATTACTTTGAAGGAGCATCACTCCAAGTCGATGTTAATTTACAATTAGCATTAGAATGGGATGCCCCATTAACAATGCGAGCGATGTCTTAAAAACGAAGCATGTGTTGTTGTTTAAATAAATTGACTGTAACTCTTTTGGTCGTTTAGTTTTACAGTAAACTCCAACAAGGTTGGAGGCAGGGAAGCGCGTTCAAAATCAAGCTGATGATCTTTTAAATATTGATTGACAGCAGAGAGCAGAAGTTTCAGAGTAACCATTGAATCTGTTTGTTTTCTGATGGACCAACATAATGTTTCCATCCTCGCCTGTTTCTTGTTAAAAAAAAATAAATAAATAAAAAAGTGTTTTTTTTTTTTTTTTTTTTTTTTTTTCTGCTGAGATAGACACAAGAAGGGTTTTTCCTCTTTCTTGCATCAGCAGCAGTAAGTTGACGCTGCCAGCTTCTCTATTAGACATGCTAGTATCTTCTTGGCTCATTCCCCCACCCATCTTTTTCTTCCTCCTCCTACAAATATTGCCCACCAACCCCCACTTTACCCAATCCCGAGACTTGCAGATGCCGTGAGCTCTGGTGTCTGTCCTCATATTGCATCAGACGAGAAGAGCTACAGTACAGTAATTAGCATCAGAAGGACCTGGTTGCTCATCTCCCTGCCAGTCAGCTGGCCTGTCGTGCTGCCTGCGTTCGTGTCTGCCTCCCTGAATTGTGCCAACTTCCATGCCCGATTCATGTCCTATTCATCTAGAGTTGAATAAAAGGCTGCTTTCCTTGGGACATCCATCCCTCTGCTGGCCTTTATTTTCTTGGTGAAGCACAGGAGTGAGGATTAAGGGGAATAGACAGAGGGAGGTATACTCAGCAGGAATGCATAAAAGCATTTTAGTTCTGCCAAGCTGCTTCCATCCTCCTACTATAATTGGAGAGCATTTTGTGTTTTTCTCTCTGCCCAATCACATCTGAACCAAAGGACGCTGAGCTTTTGGGCAGGGATTGTTTTGCATGGACACTCAAATTGCCTGTTTTGAAAATAGTAGACCTCAGACGTTGTTACAAAAATACATTTCCCGGTTGAATTCCTTTCTCCCAGTGATTTTTAAATCACTTTACTTGGAAGTCCAGAACTGTTATTTATTTATTTATTTATTTATTTTTCAGCTCCATTTTTGTCCTTTCACCATTTGTGGTTAGCACAATCCACACTCATCACATAACAGTCTGTTTATATGTCTGTTGAATTCTCATACTTATACATTACACTATCATCGACATTTACAGTAGAAGTGAGCGTAGACTTGATCAATTAAAAATATCTTTTTTTTTTCTGTTTCTTGATTTTTCATCATGGGAAGTCATGAAATGATCATTAAGAATGATCAGCTGATGCCCGTAATGTGTCAGTCCAAGATTCTTTGGGACTGCAGTGTAGCCATTTCTAAAGCAAGACAAGAGTAATAGTATAGTAAGAAGTAAAGAACACTGATGATATGAACAGTGGTATCTCTCTGTATTCTCTTACTCACTGTCATTTGACGGCGCAAGATATATGACGGCCGGCTTGAGGGTGTGCATGAAGTTGCCAAAATGGAGTGGTAAAGCTGTGGCCGTTGTCGATCGAGAGCATGCAGACTCATCAATGAATCTGCCCCTAACTGTTCATCTGCCTTTGTGGCCGTAACGATTGGCGGGCTCTTCTCTGTCACCGTATTTCCTCCATCTTCTTTTAGAAGCACAGATATATCCCTCCATAAAGGCAGACACAAAGAGGGCTGAAGAGGTTCTGCCTCACCCCACCCCCAACACAAAAGATTGGTTGATAAAAGCGTATGGAGATGCAATGAGCTAATGGCGAAAGGACTTTAGGAAATATCAATTTTCCTTACACACAAAGACACACACTTAATCAAGACGCTATCTCTCTGCCGTGATTCCATATGTGATTGCATGCATGCGTGTCGACACCCCTTTTCTCCGTTCTATTTCTTTCTTTTACAAAGATACTAAAGTTGCCCATGTCGCAGTCCCTGTGGATAGTACTCAGACAAAACACTTTCTTTTAAAGCAGTTCATCTTCAATGCGGGGCGTATCCAAAGGACTGCCAATATAGAGTCTCTTGAAAAGCAGGATTTCTACAGCGAAGAGTCATTCCTGATGTCTCTTCAGTCTCACTTCATTAGTAAGAGTGGTGATCCCAATGATGGTTGAGGACATGGAGCTGGTATTTAATTGGTCCTTTGATGGTGAAGCAAGCCCCGCGTTCCCTTTGATAAATCTACAGTATGTGACCTTTACATCACCTATATGTGGTTTGATTCGACAGAGAAGTGGGTGCGCGGACGGACCATTGACAGTGGTGAGGTCGACATTGGAACACAACAGAATCAGGCCATCCCACCAGGAGTCTTTTGGAGGTTTCATATGACTGTGCACCACCCGACCCACATCAAGTTCAATCTCTCCCTCTCCCATAATGCACTGCTGGGGGTCTACGGACGCAGGAATATACCACCTACACACACACAGGTAAGCCATCACGGTCGCGTCAGACACTCTGTCAGCTAGCAACATGTCATGATGCTCACACACAAGTTCCAAAATACCCAAAGTCTTAAAAAGATCACTGCCTGCTAAAAAATACATATGCAAGATGGTAAAAAAATTTGAACTACAGTTATTTATTAATGTCATACTAACCAGTTTCCCAAACCATTTAGGACATATAAATGAGCAATAAAAAACACCAAATATATTGATTCATTACAAAAATCATGAAGTCAACATATTAAGCCAAGTAGTTTTGTGCCTGCTACAGTATCAATGAGATAGCTGATGCCATTTATGTCTGACATTCTGACCCAATTAAAACTTGCCATGAGTCCTGACATTAATGACAAATGTACTTGAATATTAATATTAACAAAGTCAGAGATTTCTCCAAAATCAATTTTCTGAGTTGAAAAACACATTTGGTATGGTGGAAGCCAAAGGCTAAACGCCTGGAAAACTCTTGTTTTTTTTTTTAATTTTATTTATTTTTTTATTGTTTGTGTCTTTTTTGCCCTTTTACACAGAGAAAAGCAGTGCTTCTGATTAAGCTGCCCGTGTGCCAGTTTTCAGTCAATCTCGAAATTGAACGCAGTAATTCTTCATCTGCAGTGTGGTTTTAAAGCCGCCCGCCCTGAACGACAGCAGGTCACAGGAAAAACAGGAGAACGTCAAATACTAATGGTTAATTCCCTACTAGTTTATCGAGCTGTATTTGAGCATCTGTTGTGCCAATGACACAATATGAAGAGGAACGTTCAATAAAATATGTGCAGATCAGCATGAAGAGTGGCACTTATTACTCTTTTACATATACTTATAGTATACATACTGCATATGGCTGCACATGCAATACTATGCAAAATTCTTCGACCAAAATTAGATTTGTTGTTTTAGCAATGCCTTAATGATTAGATATCGCAGAACTCAAAGGCCTCTAAGTAGAGCTTGGACCGCCACCACAGCTGAACCATTAATAAAACTGAAAACAATTCAAAGAAACGATGCATTTGGCTTTGTTTGTCCATTTGTCTGTTAGTAACCTCCTTCCTGGTTAAGAACAGACAAGGGACGTACGATTCAAGAGTTGGATGCTGGGTTACATTGGCGCAAAGTATATAGTATGTTTACTACTACTAATAATGACAATGCATCCTCTTCCAGATCATCATCAAGATACACTGAAATATAATTGATTGTTGAAAATTGCACATCGCAGTTGCTAAATTGCATTTTCGCTTCCTAACCCATTGTGTGCGCTGTTTGCAACAGGTGTGAAAGTTGAGAAGAATGCCGTATTTAAAGCAAGGATTTGTGCTTTAGGTAGCTCTGAAGGTTTTTACTCTGAAAACATTTAGGTCAGCACCGCAATCACAAGATTAATTTAAAAGTAATGGAATCGGAAATGTTCGCGTATTAGGGGAGAAGAAACATATGACTGGGTCAGAAAAAAGTAATCCATCACTGTGATATGTTAAGGGGAACCATCAACCGAGTAAATCAATATTGTCGAAAGTACCTGAAAGTGAAAATACAAGTATCTTAACACAAATGTAATTTTATGACATTAAATGTACTTCAGCATTGGAAGCAAATTAAAAGTACAGAGTGAGTGGTTAGAATTTTAATTCAAGTTAAATTAGTTTTTTTAATTAATTTCGATCAATTGGCAAATTAGCAAAGAGAGCCTGGCAATGTGACACTGATGTCTACTGGCCTCAAGTTGGAAGAAGCAACAAATACGGGGACTCACCACTGGTGCACCCATATAAAGACTTGCGGATTACATGCGTATCAATTTCATGACCTCCCCCTACCGGTATCCCTAGCGTACAGGCAGGACTCTTTTGCAATGTTATGCTTTGCGGTTGAGGCATTATGTCATCCAATTTCTTGAGATTCACGCTAAATACCAAGGAAAAAAATACATTTAGATATGAAAAATATGTTGTGATTGATATAATGGGCCGCATTTTGGTAGACTGACTCCCGTGCACTCCCGTGCATAAAAATTTGCCTGCCAGCGCAAGTCTCGTTTAGCGTATTTGAGGCCATTTCTGTTGTCAAAGCATTACTCATTATGTAGAGCATTTCATATCAATGAAAACTATTTTCATTAAAATGTTTTTTTTTTTTTTTTTTATTCTATGAATGGAAATTTATAGTACACCCTGATTTTGCATATACTGCCCTCTGAAAGGGTGCCAACTTAGACGTTTTGCTAGTTTGACACACTCCCTGGTTAGCAGATCAGTTTTCACATCTTTCACGTCCGTTTTTAAAACATTTGTAAATCACGCCTGAATTGGTATATTCCTATTCAAAGACCTGGACAAAACAACCTCCAAAATGGGGTTGTATTGACAGAAAACATCCCAAGTAGCGGGTCCATCTATTTTTTTGACTAAAAGGGCGTTATTTTTGATCCAGAGGTTTTAAGAGTGTAGGTTGGAGATTTTAAATCGGTTCAATAATGCGACTGGCTTGTTCCATCTTCACCCAAAAAACAAAACAACAACAAAAAAAACTCTGCCCTCCAAGGTCTCCCCTTGAAATTGCATGTGCACTAATTCTCTTTGTGCACATGCAGTTAACTATTATTTGATGATGTTTCCTTCTGTGTTCAGTTCGACTTTGTGAAACTGCTGGAAGGCAAGGCGCTGCCCAGATCTTTGAGTGATCATGTTTCAGCTGGCAAAGCACCCAAAGGTCTGCTGCTGAGCGGCTTCCAAGAAACGCGCTTTATTGAGTACATGGACCCTGGCACCTGGCATCTGGCTCTCTACAACGATGGACGCAACCTCGAGCAAGTATTACTCCACAGCACACCCATAGGTGAGAAGACGACTTGCATCTTTACAGGTTGCAATCGTTTGGCCGGTTTGAGTCACAACACGCTTCCGCTGTAACGCGTTGTCTCGGAGATCTTCGTTGTCTTTTCCTCTCTCAGCTTTCATCTGTTGATGTATAAAAACAGACTGACATGTTGAAGTGTCAAGTCATTTACTTTTGAAGAGAACTTCCGTATTGTTCAAGTCAAGTGAGCTTGGTGTGACAAGAAGACAGCGATTTGAAAGAGAATGATAAGGACTGTGCGTAGTAATGGCAAAACCTGGTACATTGCTGAGTATTATGACACACATGGATCCGGGCGTAATTTGGAGTCTAAATAATGCAGGACTACTGACAACTGCATAATTACTGGCGGCATTTTCACTCGGGTTTTTGGGTTCATGTGAAATGAAAGTACTGCCACAGTCAAAACTTTGAGAGGTTGCAAAATTTAGATAGCTGGTGTGAAACATTTTCATTGCTGAGAGGTCAAGTTACATACGGCATAAAATGCATTTCAGAATAAAACGATACTATTGCAAAACCTACTTATTTCACCAAATGAAAATGGAAGATGAAAATATTTGCGTGGTTATTATTTTTTGTTACATTAGTACTGTGTGTGATACACTGGAGATTCGAGGGCGAGCAGTTGGGGCAGTTTGGTGCCTTTTCTCAAGGGTACATCAGCCTACCTTCCAGCCGCCTGGGAACTTTTTTTTTTTTATTTTTTTATACAAATGATTATACCCATGGAACGAGTAAAGAAACGAGTACTTTTAAAACATTGCTCTGCAAAGAAAGAAAATAACTCTTTTTTTGTTGTTGTTGTTGCTGTGGTATTGTTTCAGGATCGGTACTGAGGTATTTTATGCCACGATCGTACTCAAGTCAAAATTTTAGTTCTGAGACAACACTGGCACTGACAGGCTGTCGCCATCGTTGTCATGTGCCTGTGTTTTTGTCATGTGAGCAATGGTGTTTTTACACATCAATGTCAAGCACATTCCGGCCACCTTTTGTGAACAACTGTCAGAGTGACAAGTAAGAATCGGATCGTGTAGGATCAGTTTCAGCCGATCTTCAAGGCTGCAGTATTGGTATCTGTATCAGATATGAAAAGTAGTGTCCTTAGTAGAATTACTCCAACAGCTACAATTCATGCAAAAAAAATAACTTAAGTAAATGTATAAAAGTAAATGTAGTCCGTGAATGCGCACCTCTATTTATAACTATTTGGAATCTGGTGTTACAAATGTCCTGCTGATGTAATCATCATTACTGATGGATGTAAACATGCTCCGATATTAAGCACCGCTTGAAAGACCAGGCTGCAAAGTAATCTGGCTGAACTGTCACATTGTGAAAAAAGAACATTGTCCTGAAATCATGGCTTTTTTTTTTCCATGTTGGCAGAGTCCTTTATGTAATGACCGACAGCATGCAACCAATTAACATTAATGTTATTCCAGGGTTGTCAAGCATTTGGCATGTTAGGTTTGAAGACTGCCAGAGAACAGCCATTTGTTTCATTTGTATATTCTGAACTGAGTTAGTATCAGCGTCCCTTCAATCATGTAAATGTAGTCAAAAGGGATGGGCTTTGAATGGCAGCCAGCAGTGTGTCAAAGGGCTTGGCGCACCAGGGGAAAAAAAAAAAATAAAGCCTTGATGAAAAAGTTCATTTTACCGCCAATTCAAACAATGGTTCCGAGCTATCACTGTGTTGTTTCGGATGAAGGAAATCAAACCCACTGACCCGTGAGGCGGCGCATTCTAATGTGAGACCCGATGTGCTGGAGCTCCGACTGGAGCCTGAGAGGAAGATAAGATATGAGATGATCATTGTCGGGAAATTGAGCTTCTGCGCGGCAAAGAGTAACTAGATCCAGCAATGAATATTGAGAATAAGTCAGGAAGCAGCATATATGTATGCTTTTTCGAATAAAAACAAAAAACATTTTCTATATACTGTATATCTATATCTAGAGAGAGAAAGAGAGAGAGAGGGAGAGAGAGAGATAGAGAGAGACAGAAAACATGAAAACTATGGAAACAATCCGTCAAGTCAATGCTGATTTACCCTCATATGCTTGTGGTCATAAAAACACATGGGTGGCCATAAAGCGTGGGTGCAAAAGCAATGAGGTATGCGATAATGTGTACTCCAATGCTGTCATGGGCAATCACAATGATCATTAATTTCCTTCGTCGGAATAAAAGGGACAGTGAAACAACATTTAAAGCTGCATGTGTTTGGTTGACTGACTACAGGCTTGTGTTGCATCAGTCAAGGGTCATTTTGCTTATTTATAGACTCCTTCGTGCTAACATTAAGAATGTAATTGCTGCTTACTTGGACACAAAAAAAAAAGCTGGAAAATGTGCACAGGTACTATGAGCCAAGCAGATATATAAACGACTGGGAGACTGTCATGATTTAAAAAAAGCCTTCCGACATACAATATCAGATGAAAGAAATTGCATAATCATTATGTTAATGAATTCCCACTGCCTGCACACGCTGGGCTAATTGTGCATATTTTCAAATCCGCCATTTTTTTCTCATGCGTCCTCCTCTCTCAAGTACAAATAAGAAAAAATCGAGTTTATGACCGCATTGATGCCCACACATTTTCTATAAAATCATGGTTAGAAACTGAATGGGCATTTCTAGTCAACTAATTGTCAATTCATTTCAGATTAAAACCCAAGGGTCATAAAGCATTGCTGGAACTTTAAAAGGCTCATAAACTACAATCGGAATGCTTATTTGACCAATCAGACCACTTGGGCGGAATTACCTATTTTATAATCACACTTAGCCGCAATAACTTATGGCATGAATGATTTCCAACTGAAAAGGGTTTAGTCAGTGGAAAGAACAGATTATGCATTCACACACACACACACACACACACACACACACACACACACGCCATATAGTCAAATACACTATCTTTGTGCAGTGCTTGTTAATTGGTTGGAAAATTTTATAGCTATGATAGTGACCTGAAAATGGAGACCTTAATTTACTGTTACAACCTCGCTGACCTCCAGCTTTCTGTGAGATCACGCCGTCTTCTCAGGAATAAAAGCTCTTCCCTGACCTTGCAGATGAGTTCTTGCTCATTGCATTTGTCAGGTGCCACATCCAATATTAGAATTTACACACGCGAGTTTATTTTTCTTCCAAGAGGATAGAAGACTCACATGAGGAGTTTTCCTGACTGTGTGAGAGATGATTGGCACTCCTCTCCATCAGTGTGACGATGACAGGTGATGGAGGTGAAAATGACTTTGGTTTCTATAGTGATGCACTGCTGTGGAGGAACTGCACTGTCTGTCTCATTAGCATGTGTCACACGTGCCTCAAGGCGAGAGTCGCACTATATCGCTGTGTGTGTTTGTTTGTAAAATGTGTGGCTGTGTGCACGTGTGTGGTCCATGCCAATGAAGGATTTGTCATTCATGCAACCTCAATAAAAGAAGGCAGCGGACAGCAGTGGTTTGACTCATGAGTAGATCTATGTGCTCTGGCCAGAGCAGGACAGACAGCACATGGTTGTAATCTGTGTATTATTTGTTCTTTCCACTTTGAATGGGCAGTCGAAAAACAAAAAGTTATTTTTAATGTATTTGTTTTGAAATCTCTTGGATTAAAAAAATGCCAGATCGTGTATTGTACAATGTCAATTTAAATTAGAAATACTAAATTGGGGAAACAGGACACAGGATAGAGGTTGATTTTTATATTTAATTGGTTAGGCTTACGTGACCTGGAGTTCGGTAACCAGCATCAGTTTAAGATGTTGGCCTGTCAGCAGGTCACCATCTGTGAGGACCACAGGCACATTCTATCAGATGATCAGTCTGCCATTTTGTAACATGATCCAGATGGGCAGAGGAGAAAGAAAACATGAATAAACTAGATGCTGCAAAAATATATCTCCCATTTCAGTTATAATGCATAGAGTTGATTACAGTGACGTTGTAAACAACGTTGCCCTTGATACAGTATGGCTCATTGGATAGCCCTGACCGACTTTGATGCCTAACAAGCGAAGATTATACTTACTAATGCTCATATGTTTTTGGTTTTGTTGTTACCATCTGAAAATGGAAAGAACAAATTTTAAAGAGATTCATTCTTGTCACCTATTTTCCAGCATCTGGCTTACATTGATGTTATATGGCACAATACAGCATCATTTCTGTGTAGAATAGTCAGGAATGGGGATTCCCCCATCTGCGGCCCCTTCTCAAGGTTTCTCTTTTTTTTTTTTTCTTGCCCTCCTCAGTGGCCATGTGTTTAAGGGCTTTATAATAAATTGGACTCAACTTGAATCAGGGTCGCCATAACAATTTTGGTTTGGTTCAAAAAGGGTTGTTAATTGGTTCTCTTTTTTTCACAACCGAGCCACACAAATCCATCTACTCTGTCCTGTGCTGTTCAATTCATCCCCATAGTAATTAATCCCAATCCAGGTAATTTGCTCTTTATTTCCTTTTTATCCTTGGATAGAAGTGGCCAGTGGCTCATACTTTCACATACATACATTTTGTATTTCCAGTGCACATCCACACCTGCGCACCACATACAGGTACCGTATGTGCCCTCATTTAGGGCACAATATCCAGCATCCCTCAGCACTTTGTGGTTATGGTCCTCAGAATATTCGTTTGGCTATATTAACTAGAAAAGCACCAGCTGAGTTACTTCTGCCAATGCTCAATTATTCACAAAAGTACGTTGTAAAACAAAATAAAATAGTAGTGGTTACAGTTTCTTTGCCCATTTGTTATCTAGCCACTTGCTGCTTTTTGGACGATGATAAAATCACGACACGGACTGTATCAGTGTATTCACGGTTGTCTTTTGATGATTGAATATTTGTCAAGAAGCTACTTTCTCATTCATGGAGACTGATAGATGGATGGGCCCACCATTTACATCACCATTAACAGCTACTATATGCTATCCCCAACAAGTTTGGATATTGTCAGAGAAAGAAATGGATAAAAAAAGAAGTGATGTTCACACATGTAAATAGCTTTCAAGTGTTTGGGTGGGTGCTAATTTGTGAATGTTAATTGAGTAAAAAGTGGGTTTCAGACAAACAAATCAAGCTATACCTAATAGTATAGGTAATAGTAAAAACATGATCCGTCAATCCTTCCATCCAATCATCCATCCATTTTGTACACCGTGTATCATGTCACAGAGAGCTGGAGTCTGCCCCAGCTGACTCTGGTTGAAAGCTGCCAGGCACATATCGAGAAAATATCATTCACACTCACTTTCACACCATGACTAAATGGGTACTGAACCCATACTGACTGCATGGAAGGTAGGCAAGTAAGCCAATTCATGTTCAGTGATCTAAAGACACTGTCGACATCATAAAGTTTAACGTCATAGCAGCAAAGTCAAACTAAAGGCAGGAATTAAATGTGATGATGCAATTACGCGCCGTTATTTACTGACCCCTGCATGCATTTGTTCCAGCAGTAACATCACGCAGTAATCCGTTCTCCACTAACTGGGTCGTTCACAACGGCAGATTTTGTGTTCAATCTTGTTCCAAATTGTGTTCTTGTAAACAGTTTGATGATGAAGCGCTGATGTATGTAAATGCGCGTGCAGTGTGTTTGCAACCTGTAATGCAGCATAATGTGCTTAGTGCAACACAGAGTAAGTGAGTGCCTGGCCAGTCTCCAGAGAGTGATAGCAGCTGGATCAGGCTAATCTAATATAGCTTCTGTGTCTGGGGAGCCGTCCATTGCTTATCACATATTTCATTCAATAACAGAACGCTATGCCAGTTGATGGAGTAACATGTGGATTATTTTCTTGTTTTTTTGTTAATGTCTTGAATAAATGAATACATTAATGGTGTCTGTGTATGCTGTTTCATAGAAACAATGGATGGCTGTTCCAAAGGATGTAATGGAAATGGCGAGTGTGTTGCTGGACGCTGCCACTGCTTTGCTGGTTTCATGGGTCCTAACTGTGCCAAAGGTAATCAAAAAAATAAAATAAAATGTTGTGTAAAGTGAGACTGTCATGCACATTATGGTTTTAAACCCACAATGGACTTGCTTGCCAATGTTAGATTCAAACGAATGGCTGAATGCATTGCCATTTGTAATTCTGATATTTATAAAAAAAAATCCAAATAATAATTAAAAAAGAAATTAAATAAAAAGGTAACAACAACTGCCAAACAAATTCATGGCCTCTGAATTTCGGGGATAGTAAGTTTACAATGAAACATTAAAAACAATCTTGTGTGCGTTACACAGATTGGGTCCAAATTAAATTGTCTCGATGTCCCGTGTCACACCTTTCCCAAAATGTTTATGGGAAGTGCTTTTTTGTGGATAATCAAGCATACAAATACACATACAGACAATGCTGTATGGAAATAAACAGAATGAAAATGTATACACCGGCCTTATGCTTTGCGCTATGTGCAATAATAAATAAAAACGAGTACCGGTACAACTTCTCATCTGTTCCATGTTTTTGTTCCAAGTGCATCTATTTACATGTTACACGGTCAACTTTTTCTTACAAAGGCTCAACGAGGTTCAGAAAGCAATTGCTCAAGAGACAAAATATTCCATCTGCAGAGGTTATTTAAAACATACATTTTAAAGTGGATATGACTTTTAAAATCTGTCCCTCCGTCCTGAATTCTTTGAGGACCCTTCCACCACATTTTTCACATGATGACTTACATGCCAGCCACCTCTGACTTGCATTCACTTGAAAACATCTGCACAAAATTGGCAAAGAGAAATGAAGTGGGAAAAAAAAAAAAAAACAAGCCACCAAGGTCTGTGCAATATTTTAATAATAATGACAGTGTGTCTCCGGCACAACTGAATGGCCTCTTACTCTGCCCGTGCACCACTTCTACATCTAGATAAGAGGGAATTACTTTTATGGTTATTATTTTATCTGAGCTCAGGATTATTAAAATTTGTTTACAGGGTACTCATTAGGCAACATCTACAAGCTTGCTTAATGAGCATTCACAGCTAGGAGTTGTCAGTTTGGTTGTGTCCTACGGTGTCATGTAAAAAAATATTCTTATAACCTAAAAACAAACCACCTCCTAATATGTAGTTAAATCAACCCAGCAACCGAGTATCGTAACTGTATTAAATAAGTATATCACCATAGTAATCATTTTTATTCAGACTTTTACGAGTGTGTCTCTATTTCTTTTTCTCACTCCCTGGTGTGAAATGTAATCTTCTCCTCTGGCCTTCCCTGCCTTTATTTCCAATATTCTTCTTCTGCCCCGCCCTGTTTTTTTTTTTTCCCCCCCTCGGTTGTAATACTTGTATCTGCCTCATTGTGTTGAAACAGGTGTTTCGATGTAGTCGCCAACGATTTATTTACTCGAATCGTTATCCATACGTTCCGCTCATCTTTGCTCATTTAGTTGCATGGTGATATTTGTTGTTTGAAAAGTTATGGCAAGAGTTGTAAAAAGTGAAGTGAGCGTTTATTGCCGCAGAATGTTTTGGGTTATATTTACAGAGAATCAAACGAGACAATAACGGCCCACATTTTTTTTCAGTTCATATTAGCCTAAAAAAAATATTACTAGTTGGAAATCTTATCAAATCCATTTGAAGTGTCTACCTGTCATGCCTTTTCTCTAGCAGCATTGAGATGATGGTGTGTGTGTGTGTGTGTGTGTGTGTGTGTGTGTGTGTGTGTGTGTGTGTGTGTGTGTGTGTGTGTGTGTGGGGTTGTGGGTATCTGTCGGTTCCTTGGTGGCTGCCTGCAGCACAGCTCTCCATCTTTGCATGAAGAGAGCTCCTCATTCTATAAAACCCTAATGCCCTCATTCCAAATCTTTCATTTTCACGATTGTTTTCACGGCCTGTTCAGAGCAAGTGAGGTGACGTTGAGGGGATTTTCTCCAATTCTTGGGTTGCCGTGGTAGCCGAGCTCAGGTGGTGCTTGAGTAAATTGAAACAGCTGAGTGATAAGCCGGGGTGCGTGTGTGTGTGTGTGTGTGTGTGTGTGAGGGGTTGTGGGTATCTGTCGGTTCCTTGGTGGCTGCCTGCAGCACAGCTCTCCATCTTTGCATGAAGAGAGCTCCTCATTCTATAAAACCCTAATGCCCTCATTCCAAATCTTTCATTTTCACGATTGTTTTCACGGCCTGTTCAGAGCAAGTGAGGTGACGTTGAGGGGATTTTCTCCAATTCTTGGGTTGCCGTGGTAGCCGAGCTCAGGTGGTGCTTGAGTAAATTGAAACAGCTGAGTGATAAGCCGGGGTGCGTGTGTGTGTGTGTGT